GTCGCAAGGACGCCGCCATTCATACGGGTAACGGACTCTACATAGGGTTGCCAGGTTACCAACTAGATATACCAGAACTTAAAAAACTAAGTTATCATTCGAATCTTCAACTTGCTTCATAGGAAATAGACATTATTTTAGGTTAAATGAGTGAATTAGAAATCGCCCAAAGGGAAAATAATTTGTTGAAAATATGTATTTAGAAGTTTACTATTGAAAAAACAATAAACAACGCGACTGTCTTGGGGTTTGCTGTTTACTGGTGTAACTTTCAAATAGTCCTCATATGTCTTAACATGCTTCCGAGAACAAAGTATCAATACTATAACGGCATTACGTGCATCGGGTGTCGGCAGGAAACAATCGAGCAAAGTTGAATGACCGTATTCAGATATAATGCAATAATTACATCCTTTTTTGTATCAAATGTTAAGCTTAGGTGGATATAACGGTTTTCACACCCGAAATACCAGTTACTTTTCATAAATACATGATAAAGTCATGGTTGATGATTTTATAATTGAATCGTCACGGTAGACGTGTTAGAGTGAATTCGTATCTAAACCTGAAGGATTTGTTTCGGATTCTAAGGGCCTGTCCCACCATATTGTAAATTGTATAACAATCTAACATGTAAAATATTTGATATAAATATCGGATTTTGTTACCTTATCTGACAGTGAGGCCATTTTAAACTATCTGAGCTAGTGGTGGGACAGGCCCTAAATAATGTGGATAATAAAATAAAGCAGACACTGAAAAACCGGTCTTATAAGAAATAACTTATATCAAGAGCTACGTGGGCGTAAAAGTACCTAAGTACAGTTTAAGTAATAGAGTAAAGATTCTGTCGATTTTGCTAGTTACATTTGACATTTGGATTAGTTGTTTTCCGTCCAGTTTGCGATAAGTCTTTTCTACAAATGCAATTTATCTATTTTAGTTTCTTATAATATTACCAAACACTTTATTCCATATCTGCGTCACTTTGATAATCTTAGTGGCATCGAACGTGTTGGTATAGAAAGATGAAGCCAAATGGATTTATATCCACACATTAGAGTGGAAATTATATGTTTACATATGTTCCCGCATTCAGAGAAGCAATGCGTTGTAACAAACACAATACCTCGTGAAGGCAAACAATGGAGTTGAGACTCGACCTCGTGTGCTTCCGTGCATTTATGCGTTTGTTTTTATTGTTATACTTTTTCAAGGCCAGGATAATGTATAAGGATTTAACAATAATATCACAGTAAACATAAATATTTTTATTATTTAATAGAGTTTAAAGTCCACATAACATATGTGTCGTTATAATACTGCTAGAGATTGTGAATTTTGTCTAAAAAAACTTATTTATTTAAAATAACAGAATTAAATGTTGTTTATTTTACTCAGGGACTATGCAACTTTCCAATGGTGTTAGAATTTATGAAATAAGTCCAGTAGTTTTTGAGTTTATTAATTACAAACACAAATATTATTTCCCTCTAGTCTTTAGTATTGATACAATTTATATCATGAAAGCTTATTTCAAAAGCACATTAATCAGAGCGTATCGAAGCGACACATTGGACCTTCTTTCCAGATCTGATAATAACCTGGTTACTGACACCTAACAGTATCGGCAGTTAACAGTGGTACCGTCTTGACCACGAACACCACACGCGACTGACTTTCAGTGTCAAACTGATGCAATTACATCTAGATGTACTAATGTGAAAGATACTGAGGTATAAGCTAACTGTGGGACTGCATATGAAGCATTTATTTAATTAAATTGTTATTTATTTATTTAATAAGATTTACCCAACAACTTAAAACTAAAATATGATTGCAAATAAGATTAATGAATTAAGCAAACTAGGTTTTAAACCGAAGTAGGTGTACACAACATGACTATATAAGACAACTATGAAAAAAGCGACAAAGTGCAGATTACTCGTATACTATAATATACATAACATTTTATTTTTGTTTTAAAACTTACCTTTTTATAGTTTAACCTTAAAAATAGTAAAGTCGAGGAAAAATTAAGGAAAGAGGAAGTACAAACATAGTTGTTATAATATTTTTGTGACATTATATCTGAAGACTATTTCTCCATGAGAATGATACTTTCATATATCATCAAACTGCCCTATGGAGGGGCGGCACAGTATGCTGCTAACCGTCATATCTAAATGTATCCCCTTTTAAGCATATTCTTTCATACAATCTATCCATAGTTTCTTCGGTCTCTACCTTCGTATCTTCGTACCCTCTTCGTTTACGTGTAATTTGGTTTTAAAATTTTTAATTGAGTCGTGTGACGACGTGCTGGCAATTTATTACTAAAACGGTGTACCTCTGATAGGCCAAGGTAATAGTCGCGTGCGCTTCATGTTAAAGAAAGTGCGACCCCGATATACGAGTATCGATAAGTGCAATTTGCGTAGACACATTTGTGTGAAATAAGTGTCTTCCAAACTTTAGACAAGAGGCTGTTGTAAGCCTTCAATACCAAAATATATTGTAAGAGTTAGTTACTAAATTTAGATATTAAAAAGAGAAACTAAAAGTTATCATTGAATAAAGAGGCTTTATTAAACGGCTGGAGGTCCTCGAGATACAGAAAAAATAAAATAACAGTATCTACTAATATTATAAAAAGGAAAGATTTGTATTTTGGGATTTATGCATGTATTGAAATAACTCAAAAACTATTTGACATACATCAAAAATTCTAACACCATTAAAAAAGCTACTCTTAGTAACATATACTACATTTTTACTTTTTTTTTGATTTCACGCGAACGATGTCGCGAGCAACAGCTAGCAGTTTAGAGCAAGAGCTAGTAGCTAGATTAACATTATATCGGTAAAACGTACTATAATAATAGATGAAACTGTAAATGTCATCTAATAAGTGTGTACCTACGTTAAACGGAATGCAACGGGTCTATAATCTAGACAAGTTTATAACTAAAATTGTAGGTGACCTGAAAAGGGTTGGGTAAGCGCTGCCTTCGACGTTTCTTATTCTATGCGGTATAAATTTTAATTCGACGGGTTTACCTTACAAGTTAATGAAAACTACTTTATAGAGACTGATATCTTGATGTTTATACCATAAGATAACGTCATGCCTTAAGTAAACAAGAATATGGTAACTGCATCTATTAATTAATCTTGTTAAATTCATATGTTTAAAGAATAACTGTAAACTTCTATGATTTAAACAAATCACAGTCTTTAAAAATAAGGAAACAGAAAATAAGTCTAAAATTACAATTATTTGAACTTATGTCGCTAAATCATTTTAAATCATAGACACAACTATAAATAATGATTCTGTAATTCATAAAAGGAACTACGTACTCTATGGTAATGACGAAGGAAGTTTATAATGACCACATCTCGGCGAGGTGTCGGAGTGGCGAGACGTGGAATGCCTCATCTAGGTGCGTGACTGTGCGGAATTCGCAGCGAGGAGAAACGCTGACGAAAGTAAAACTTGATCAATGTAATTGATGTGGTGTCGACGAGGCTTTGTATTAAGGTACTATTGCAAAAATATTGTCGTAAAAGAATTTAAATATAATTTACTAGCTTTTTCGCGCAAATCGCGAAATTTAAAAAAGTCGCCTATGTGTTCTTCCATACTATGTTCTACATCTACGCCAGATTTCATCGAGATACGTTCAGCCGTTTAGGCTACACACTCTAACAAACATCCACCCATTCCATAAAACTTTCGCATTTATAATATGAAAGTATGAATTTTATTAAGACTACTCACGATCTTCTCTTCTTCAATCATATATCACAGAAAAGGAAACCTGGCTATCTAATTGAATCACTCAGGGAGTCCCTTTATGTAAACTTATAATGAAAAAAACATTTCGGAATTCTTTTCACTTTGAGTGTGATCATACTGCAATTCTGTTTAAAACATCAAGAGTAATTTATTTGACATGAATTCTTTCATAACTGCGATGTCCCGTTACACAAGCATTAACATCGGCGCTCACGATCAGTACCTCAGCATAAATGCAAACTATTGAATAATAATTAATTCTGTCAATTGTATGATGTACCATCATAATTAGAGCACATACACTGCTATCAAACACTGTTAGAGCACGCACACCTTTGAATAAACTATCGCACAACTGTATAGTCACGCTTTGGTTCCTATGAGCTTTTATGGACGTTTTTAGTTGTGCAACTAAACAGTTGAATTGGCTACGAAACAATCGACAAACGCATATTAGTTGTGTGATAGTTTAGTCAATGGTGTGGGTCCGCTGTTAGTCTACACAAGGGAGATCAATTTTTACATGTTTAAATTAAATTCTGAGATATTTCACACTAGTTTCCTAGTTTTTATTATAATCATTCATCATTCTTATTATATGAAAATCATTTGTATAAAATCATTTCCTATAGAAGAAAAAGTTTTTTAAATTAATCTACTGCACTATAAACTGCCATCTGGCGGTTTTTTCGTACGATTCCGTTATAAAAATAGACTAGACATGAATGTATTGACCGTATTCAAAGCACGTCTTCGGTCCTTATCTGACCAAATCAGAGCAATGAGATGTTTGTTGGCGAAGGCAGGTGCTACAATAAACAGGTTTGCTCACCGCGCCACGACCACGCTATAAATTATGTCCTGTCTCCGAAAATATGCGCCTCGGTGTCTCTTAGCGAACTTTTTTTCACTTTTGATCGATGTTTATTTCTTTATAAATTCAGATTTTTGGTATTCGACTGTGGATTATGGTTTTATAAATGCATTATTTTACACTTAAGAGCGTTCGCACACTTGAAACTAAACTATCGCAGAACTGTTTAGTTGAACTTTGTGGTGCTGCGCACACTATTCGATTTTTAGCTGTGAAACTAAAAAGTTGAATTGGGCTGCAAAACAATCGACAATCGCACAACTGTTGTGGTTGAAACACAAACATTTCAGTTTAGCGTAATTATTTGTTCGTTTATGGTTTCAGGAATGAATTGGTCACCGCTGATGTGGTGTGCGGGGGTGCGAGGAGGATGCGCGAGGAGGAGCTGGAGGTGGCGCTGAAGGTGGTGATCGTGGGCGACGGCGGCGTCGGCAAGTCCAGCATGATCCAGCGTTACTGCCGCGGCACATTCACCCGCGACTACAAGAAGACCATCGGCGTCGACTTCCTCGAGAGACAGATTGAGTAATGCACCTTTCTTATTTTAATTACTAATGCTGGGTTACTGTAGTTTACATTTATTTTATCACTAGCTTTTGCTCGCGACTCTGTTCGCGTGGGATTAAAAAAAGAAAGTCTCCTATGTGTTCTTCCAGACTATTCTCTACATTCATGCTGAATTTCATCGAAATCTGTTCAGCCATATAGGCTACAAACTCTATCATATATAATACAATGAAACATCCATCTAAACTTTCGCATTTATGATATAAGTAAGATCACCTGTGATATATTAGTTGACCTACGTTTAAACGGAGTAAAATTCAAGTTATGTAGTTCGGAAACGCATTTCATGAAGTTATCGAACCAAAAACACTAACGAATGGTTAAACTTAGCTGGGAAACCGGCCATAAGTAATAACAAAACACTCTACTGTAATTTCACGGAATGACATATCATTGCCTTATCATGACATGTTGTGACATAACTACTTGTTCTCGGATTAACTGCGATCTATGCCCTTTATTATTTACCTCCGAAGACTAGTTGAACCTTTTTTTTTTTCCGAAGGGGAATTCTTTACGCATACTCCATGCCTCTGGGCAGACACGTGAGTTATGTGGGACTCTCCCCCCATAGTGGGGGGCATACCTCACTAAACCCCTTCGTTCCCTCCTGGCCATTGTGTGGGACGCCACGGGATCGCTTGCGCTTGCCTCCGCGACGCCCCACTGACCGCCCCGGGAAGGGGCCCTCGTTGCGTCCCAATAAATTGGGATGCTGCGCCCTAAGGCGCCCCTCGGTAGACGGCAAGACTAGTTGAACCTTAAGTCAAGCTTTTGGAAGCCTTTTTTCGCTACACCCTTTAGGTATAAGTTTATTTCGTCAAATATGTGTTTATCTTTGTCTTATTTCAAAGGGCATTTCGTAAAGATTCGTAGTCACTATAAGATAATCATCCTTAGATGTAGCTTCATTGACCTATGATTACAAGTACATTTGACGATGACTTTAGTTTAAAATCAAAGTGCGCGTGAGAATACTTTCACTGGCGTAACATTTTATGAATAAACCCGTGACCGCTGGCCACACGGTCACCAATACACTTGGTTTGTAAGGACTGTCCCATTTCAAGAGAACATTCTAGAAATTGTTTGTATACTTAAAAATCTTTTGGTTTAGTTATTTTCTTTTATCCGTTATACTCTGAAAGAAACTCGCTAAACTTAGTTTAACTAATCTGATATTTTTTAAAAGACTATGAGTATAAAATAAGTTTTTGGATGTCATTTTTTTATCCGCAATAATTTATGGTCAATGTAATGAATCAGTTAGCTGATTAGTGCTGTGGCTATCTGGTTGATTAAACTCGCGTGCTCTAGAAACAGAAACTACTAGGTTAGTAGTCTGCAGTCTACGTTTATAAGGAAAAAAAAAACAGAAATTGATCTCTGAGACCTGAGCAGTGCAGAATTATAAAAACAATTATTGCTCATATTTGATTAGTTAAGACGGTTTTCGTAAAATCGTTATTAATGGAAATGATTTAATTTTTTTTTTATTTACGATTAGTTATCTGTTTGATTTAATGAAAAAATTGCATAACTAATCAATTTAAATTATGATAAAAAAAATTAAAATCGAGTGGAAATCCTAGAAATGGTTCGATTTTCTATTTTACATAACTTGAAGAGAAAACTTTAAACAAAATACGAATTATTTTATTGTACAAACGTAAATATAAAACAAAACTATGACTGTCACAATCTGTTACACTTTCCGAGAACGATGAAAGTAAAAATACATAATAGCCGTGTAATTTATAACATAAAATAACATAATTTATTAAGATAAAAATATTCAATGGTGCTATAAATATAACTAGATTATAACAACTCTCCCTTTCTATATTGAAAATAAATTCAAATTATTACGTGAATACATAAACTGTCCGACATTTACTATATTTCATTTTGAAAAAGAAACTTCGATTGCTTTTATATTACACTAGCTTTCGCCCGCGAATTCGACCGCGCGGAATAAAAAAAAACAAATGCAAGTAGCCTATGTGTTCCTCCAGACTATCCTCTGCATCTATGTCAAATTTCACTGAAATCCGTACAGCCGTTTAGATTACAAACATCCATCCATCTAAACTTTCGCATTTATAATATTAGTATGATTAACATAAGTCGATGGCGAAATGAAGTACAAATAAGTAAAGTTTTCGTTTTATATTCTTTCAAATATCAACTTGGTTTCAACTTACTCTATCATCGACTGTAGCTGTCTCTTTTTGGCTGACTAATGCAGCTTAGGAGATCGAAGTTTTTAAGGAATTAGCTAGTAACCGTAATTCGCCATAAGGTCAACAAGCTTAATGCGATGTTTCTTTTAAAAAATAAAATTCGTGTGAACTGTTAAAGTAACTGCATTGTCTTTTTCATTTACATGCAAGTAACATCATAATTTAAATGCTTAAGTACTCATTATAAAAATGATGCTCCAACTAGATAGGTTTTATGATGAACTCTTAATTTATTGGGACGAAATTTTTATAGTTTTCATAACAACAAGTAAAGATGATAAGTAACTAACTATAAAGTGCAAAACAAGGGCCTTACAAATGTATGTTTTTTTTTTAATTTTCGCAGTTATCCGGCTAGAAGGACCATAATGACGAACTGAAACAGGCTAATTTGAATCTAATTTTCATATTAATTAAGATTATTGTTGTATATTCAGGATCGATGGCGAGGAGGTGCGGCTGATGCTATGGGACACGGCGGGACAAGAGGAGTTCGACGCGATTACGAAGGCGTACTACCGCGGTGCGCACGCCTGCGTACTCGCATTCTCCACAACAGACCGGGATTCCTTTCTTGCGCTGCACTCTTGGAAACTAAAGGTAATAGTCGGTCCAGAATAAGTTTTATAACTCCGCTATCTCTTAATACCGTTCAGGGCCAATTTTAGCATAACCGTACCCTCGGCGAGTAGTGTATCGCGCTTCCAAACTGCAATACAAACCCATCTGAAAATAGGCGCCCGTGACGCCCCATTATGTCGGGCGCCCTGGGCGGCAGACCCACTTCGCCCTAACCTAACGTCACTACCGCAATCGCTCGCTTTTGTTTTATGAATTTTTATAAAATAGCTGTAAAAATTAAATTCCCTAACTCTTTTGTTTTACGGATGCTAAATTTGGAATCCACGCATAAAAGATACGCTTAACGCGTGCCATATTGAGATTTAGCACCAAATGATAAACGGGGTCGTAAGCCGAGATCCAAACAGTCCATTGGCCAGATATATACCTACTCTCTGCAAAGTAAACACATCGCAACAGGGGTGCATATGTCAAGGCCCGTTGTAGCTCTTACATCTAAGTCCAGAATAAATATCTTCTTGAGAAAGCGCTATCAATGGTATTAATAATAAAAAACAATAAATAAAAATATACAACGTAGCTCAGTAATTTTAGTATGTTATCAAAACGTAAGTCAAAGAAGTATTGAAAATCGACAAAAGTATTTGTGTAGTGTTTATTTGTGCGTGTTGAAGCAAGAGAAGTGGTTAACGGTTATTGAAAAGTTATCCACACTGCTTACCTCTTCAAATAATAAACGTATGTAATAACAGTTATTGAGAGAAAAATATTTATAATAATAAGCAGAAATATTTAAGAATCTCTGTAATAGTATCACATATCACTGTCCGCATAATCACAACGGGATGTTTACAATACTGTATTCAAACTCATTTCCGAGCATAAAGTTGACTGAGCGGACATATCGCGAGATGCGCTCCCAAATTATTTTAATAACTTTCACTATCCTTCTCGTGATAGTGCAAAGTCACTGGAGTCTGAGGAGCGAGGACAGATGTATCAATTACTACAGAACCGGGAGAAACTTCGACTTGAATCAGATGAACGGTGACTTCTACGCTGTGTACTACTGGCCGCCGATACAACGTGAAAGAGAAACCTGCGGAGTATTGAACTTCAGAGTCATGTCGGACGAAGACGTGGAGGCGGCGACAGCTGAGTGTGATGACGCTATCGATGATGATGATAACGTGGTCCAAGCTACGTACAGAAACAGTACGGGGAAGCTGGTTAATGTGTTATACTACGGTAACGAGGAAGTAAAGCATCTGATGAGGTCGTGCGACAAAATCTACAAGTATTTGTTTATTAGGATTAATGATGTTTATGTGATGGGTATTAACTGCTCGTCCGGGGGCCGCGGGATCCTGCTGGCAAAGTCTTACCTGCCCGGCCTCAACGAAGTGCAAACGGTCGTCAGAAGTATAGAGTTTATGACGGGTCGAGAAGGCAAGCCAGATTGCCCGCTGCCGTAATGCTGCGGAACTGCTTAAATATTCATAACGTTTAATGTGTTTTAAATAAAAATTGTGTATTATTGTGTTTTTTCAATAAATTTGATTTAATTATTGATTGTTTTATTTTATTGGTAGTTTATTTAGTTACATAATCTACGAGGTGTCTTTCCATATCTTTCCAAGTCTTAGGTTAAGTTTTTGCTAAACTTTCGTAGTTACAAAATAATCTTTAAGTTAGGAAATTGCATAAGCTAACGAAATTGGTTTAACTTGTAATTAATATTGTGTTTATATTTAATTTCAGGTTGAGAATGAATGCGGTGAAATCCCGACAATCATAGTGCAAAATAAGATAGATTTGATGGACCAATGCGTAGTTGGACCGTAAGTACACTTTAAATATTGGATACATGTTTTCTGTTCTCAAATTTAATTAATTACTTCTACAAAACATCTTATCAAATAGGAGCTTTAATCATATCTTCCAGTAATAATCATCACAAAAGACTAATCACTGGTGAAAGAAGTTAACTTGGAAATATTTGTCCCAAAATTCTTCCTAGTTGCGTTTGAAATTTCTTTAGCTACATTTCGTATGTGTTTCTTTCATAGGGATGAGGCGGAGCTGGTGGCGCGCGCACTCGGCTGCCGGCTGATGCGGGCCTCGGTCAAGGAGGATGTCAACGTGGGCGCGGTGTTCCGGGCGCTCGCCGCACGCTGCCTCGCTGACATGCGCGCTGACGATGACGCGCCCAGCGTCAACACAACGCCTGTTATTGGTAAAGTTATCTACAATATGAGTTTCAAATATTCATGACCTCAAACTGTTAAGAAAATAAGTAAAAGATCAAGATGTCCTGGGATTTTTCTGTACTTTTATATATTTGCAGGTAGTTTCACAAACCACAATAGCAACGGCACGATCCTGCTGCGGCCCGCCAAGCACCGCCCAGGAAAGAAGAGGAACGTTTTCAAGAGCGCCTGTAGGATACTCTGATTTGATTTCTAGAAGATTCTAGATCTAAATTTTCTATTTTAGTTGCCTTACAAATGAACAGTATATTATATTTCTTTAAATTTACGAAATCCGTAGTCCTTGTTTACATTTATATTAAGCCCAGTAAAATACTTTAAATCAAAATAAAAAAAAAACTTCAATATTAGCGATCTCGGCTGCGATGTGGGTTTACATGGCCAGTAATTTGTGCCGTTTTAACGCGTTCAGTACCACTGTATTTAAGGAGTATAAAAGGAAATACACTTCAGTCTATTTTTTTTTAATTTGGCATATATTTTTAATGAAAAAAATGGCCTGATGCATAAATGATTTTAAACCCCTGATTTTCACGTACTAATGTGATGCATGTAATAATATTCATTTTATATTTATTTACCTACGTTTCATACGAGATATTTATTTTAAATTTATTCTAATTAGTGATAGGCGCGACTTATGTATTATTGTACAGATAATTAAATTAGCCGTTAATGTATGTAACAACGTGCAATGAAATAGTTTGTATTTAGTTTTACGTTACAAAACTAACAACATTCTGGCAACATTTTATTTGAAATCTAAATTGTCTATGACATAAATATATTCTATGTTTATTGCAGAATAAAAATAAATTCTAGTGTATTATCAAGTTATGTGAGATACACGTAACTTGTTAAGCCAGTTTTTAGTATAACAAAAGGCATATTTCTAATTATTTTTAATAAAGTAGTTTTTAAATTGAATAGATAAAAAAATTGTTATTTTCCTAAAAGTCAACGCTTTTATAATTTACTATAAACTGTAAAACACGTCGAATTGTAAATAATTTGTATTTAAAATGTTCACAATAAATTATTTTTCACTAAGCCGTTTTTTAATTGCACAAAAATCCGTTTGAATCAAAATATCTGTAGTGATTTTTTTGTTAAATGTAAATAAAACCCGATATGGTACATTTAAATGTAGAAAATTTATTAAAATAGTCAAATTAAGACACTTAACAAAAACATATAATTTGGTATCGAGTTGAAGGTATACATAACATCTCACTACCACACTCAGAGTCATTAAATGTTAACCCCTCAGGAGCATTAGGAGCGTCACGAGGGAGGGCAGCAGCTCCCTCCTAGTTATAAAACTAGTTAAATAAGACAATATTAATGACAGCCCTCCCTATATTAGCTCAACGCTTGTGACCCTTAGTGTATACTTCCCTAAAACACTAACAGCCTTACAAATAAACACGGTAAAAAGTTAAACTTAGCAATAAACTGAGTATAAGCAAATATTAGTAAAAAATTTGCGTATACTCGGTTCATTCCTATGTTTAACTTTTTCGCATTTCTTCTTTTAATGAATAGTGGACCCCATCGTTATTACGATGATTTCGCCAACGTCAAGGTTGAAGACAATTGATAGTATAAAATACAAGATAAAAATGTGGAATAGCAGCTAACTAGATAGATGGAATCCAGTGTGATTGACAAATTACCGGATACCGCGTTTATTTGTAGGGCTGTACGGCTTTTGTAATTTCTCAAAGTGGACGATAACGCCCTCTTGGGGCGTTTGAAACCTGGGGGGGCGTTGTACGGCCCCAGACAAAATGGAGGGAGTTGGTGTGGGGGGGCAATGTATAATTTGTAATTTCAATTATTTTATATAGCATTTTAAATTTTACTAAAATTGTATAAAAATGTGGGGCGCTTAAAAATCATTGATTTTTAAAGGGGGGCGGTAAAAGAAATAAGTTTGTTATACTCTGCTGTAAGGGAATCGGAAGCCATTTTGTGTCTAAGTGTGGCAGTGTTACAATCGCGTAATCTGACGCGTGCTTAAGCGAGATTTTTGTGATTCTTCTTTATGTTAAACACAAGCAGTGGTAATTTTTTAATAAATCAGTAAATTTATCTTAGATTAATACAAGGCTTGCTCTACATTAAATCGATAATTATGGTAACATATGATTTAAAATATAAACTTTATCCAATTTTGGTTGGTAACGACTTAAATGCAATATTTTTTAATGTTGCAAAAAATTTTCAAATAAATTTTTAAATACTTTTAATTCGTAAATAATTGAATTGTTTATATTCAATATTTTTCATGTATACTAATAGACAAAGTCCCTTTCAATTGAGCATTTTAAACGCATCACAAGATTTATCAATCCTCTCTACTGTGAATTTTCATTCCCAGAACACTTAAAACATATGGTTATCTCTTTCTTTTCAAGAAGAATGAAAGAGATGGCAATATTTCTGTACGTGCGTCTTAAAAGTGCATACACAGTACTCGTAGACATTTGAAACAATATTCACGTAAAATTGTCTGATCCGGATATAATTATAAAAATTAAAATTTTTACTCTATCACTAAGGAATCGTTTAAAAGTTACACTTTTCTAAATACTAAATATATATTTACGAAGACAGTTATGATATATTTAAGTAAATTATGTTTCACAAGCGTTTATAGAGGATCCAGCTCTTAGCTTTTCTCTAATAATTTTGTTAGAAAACTTTCATTTAAAAAATTAACTGGGTATTTATATTTACATGTCTTTTGCTAACGAAGCAAGTAATAAACTTATTGTTTTGAAATTTAATGTAATGTTTATTTGAAATGCTGTGTCAAAGTTGACGATCTGCCTTTGGTGTAGAAATTTTTAAAGTCCGATTTCGGTTTTGACGCCATTTTAACTGAGTTCTTAGAAAATAAAACATAGAGAAATAAAATTTGGTCTTTACAACATATCATGTACCTTTAAAAATTGATTAATTTTGAAATTATGGAGAAATCCTAAAATTACTTTTATATCAATTCCTTAAAATTAAAAATCAAACAAATAATAGACAAAACCATCACAGAAACTTCTACACCGAAAACACGATCGTCGGAAAAACATAAAAAATAAATAATGATATAGCGAAATTTACATACGGAATTTGTACGTGCTCGCAAAGACGCACGTAGGTTACGCACATAAGTCACGTACGTAAGCTACGCACGAAAGCTGCGTACGTAAGCTACGCACGAAAGATACGTACGTAAAGCTACGAACGTAAGCCACGTAAGCACGAATGACACGGACTCACTTTATTGTCCAAACACACGCAAAGCGACATGCGTTCAGTAACAGCTGTTATTAATTCACGAACACGTGGTAACGTTGAGCTTCGCGAAGTAATCGAGGAGTCCTTGCAGACGCTTCTTGACGCGCTTCTGGTCATCAAGCGTACAGCCAAGGATGGCAGACTCGAAGTTCTTGTCGGTACCGGAACCGGAATCTGGCTGCGAGGTGCACGCGTTCATGTATGTTTGGCAGCGCGTTTGCGCGATGACGGCGTCCTCGTGCACTGACATCACCAGCTGGTCGATGTAGAGGTTCACCTGGAATAACATAAGACATTGTTGCGTAAGTTGAAGGAAATCATGTTTAAATGTGGTCATTGCAAAATACAACCTCTTTGGCTGACAAGTGTGAATACAGCCAAAGAAGTTGCATGCTGGCCACCGAGACATTGCATAGTTTAACAAGATATAAAGAGAAGAAAAAGACACACAAGAGTCAAGATGTGATCGCGGTATAGTTTTATTAAAATAATTGTAAATAACTTGAATAAAGTTTATTTTGGTTCGAAGAAAAGTTTTGTTTTATATTTTTGGCTGCCGCGCTGTCGGTAATAAAATGTACCATATGAATAATATGTAATAATGATAAGTTGAAATAAGAATACGAGTACTCATTACGATAAAGCTGTAGGTACAGTCGAGGAAACTGATGGTGTTCCTTAAAAGCTAAAATTGTTGCACCATTCTTAAACGAGACATATAGCATTCAATACAATTGCTTATAAATGTGTGTACGAAAAAAGTCAGTTAATGGTGGCTAGTTTCTTTTCATATCAAGTTATGTATAGGAAGAGGCAGAGTATCTCTCGTTGCAATAAACAAGGAAAATTCTCCTAAAGTGGAACACCGTGGATTTCCGTGATTGTACATTCGACCGCAAATTAACCACAAACATGTAAAACAAAATATCAGCCATATTTTTAAATGTAGTTATACTAAATACTGTAAATTAGAATTGACTACAGATATAAAATGTAACATTATTAAACACACGTAGAATCAAAAGTAATTATGCCTTCAATAACAATATGACAGACAGACAGCTAATCATAATACACCTTGAACTAGTTTATAGCCCCTATGTTTTATTAAAATCAAGCTGGAACAATCATACTAGTATTATAAATTGCAATGCAAAGGAACGAAAATTAAATTTTATGTTTATATAAATCTTATTAAAATGATAAATGCTAAAGTTTAGATCGATGTATGGATAGTTATAGTTTGTAGTCTAAACTGCTGAAGGGATCTTAATGAAATTTGGAATATACGTAGAGTATAGTCTGGAAGAACACACGGACTCTTAGTTGTTTTTGTTAATATCTCGCGGACGGAGTCGAGGGCGAAAGATAGTATTTTATATTAATATAGCGTGCTGGTAAAAGATTACTTTTAATATGGACTTACAGGCAGATTTCATTATGCTATTTGACCTGTAAAAACGATAAATAAGTTGGCGGATTTATTTTTACTATGCTTATTGCATCGCAACTAAATTCTAATCTTATCACTATATTACAGATAAAAATTAAAAACAAAATGACATGCAAATTAATCAAAGTATTTGTTGCATAAGAAAATGCATGTTTCTACACGTGCTTATGCCGTATAAAGTGAATGCTAAGAGCTTTACACCTAAGCAATCGACGGAAGCAGACCATTATCGCTTTATATCGCGTTATATAGTTTCCCACTGCAGTTTGCGTGTTCAAAGTCGTATACATAAATGCCTTTTATAAATTCCATTATATCGTTACAATTCCTTTGATAATGTTACACGATATACCTAATAAGAATATATTGCATATTTTCTTTGGCTCGCGACTCAGCCCTCGGAATTAAAAAAACAAAAGATGCTTGTGTGTTCTTCCAGACCATTCTCTACATCAATAGCAAATTTCATCAACATCTTGATGAAATTTTTAGTTGTGTTTGAAAAACTTTAACAAACATCGTCGATCCAGCTAAAGTTTCACATTTATAATATTAGTAAGAAGTAAATTTATTGCACTTATGTTATTAATGACAGAAAAATAACTATGTACTAAACGTTTACGAGATGAAATTATATGTTCAAAGCTCTATACTGTATACATTATAACAAGGACCTTTTTGCGGTTACTGTTAATTAAAATAGTGTAGTAATATTTCATACACCTCTACTATGTGACGTCTCAGCGACTGTGCAGTGATATCGTTCATTAAAAAAAAACATACAGACGAATTGAGTACCTCCTTCTTTTGGGAAGGCGGTCAAAAAGCAGCGAGCGAGGTTTTTGTTTATTCATGAGCTTTTATACAAACGATTTTAATGAAGCCGCTGTAAAAACTTTATTAAAAAGTAACACGAGTTATTTAATATTTTAACTACCACTCATAGACGTTTAGTGGAAGTAAATTAATAACATCCTTTGTTTAGATTCTACATAGAAAATCTACACTAAGGATTTGTTTATTATACGACTTTGAGTGCGGCAATTAAACAAACATACACATACACATAAACACATTTCAATAAAATTATGTGTCATGCATTATTTATTTCAAACATTTCCGAGCAATTTTTGGAGTTATACATTGCCTAGGAATTATGTACAATGACGGATAACGTACTTTTCCGTTTACATAAATAAACAGCAATTAATTTATGATATTAATAATTTATAAGTGCTAGAGAGTAGATAATTAATTTGGTTTCAGTGTATGTCCTTGCAACTGTCGAGCAGGGCAATGGACGTCTTGTGCAAGGTTGCCAACTTTTAAAAAATCAATACCGACTCCGTGCGTCTGTAATTTACATTACTTTAAATAAAAGATTCGTGAAGAAACTCGTTTTAATGTTTATAGTAAAAATGATTTCTCTATAGTCCTCCTACAATCCTACTAATCCTACTACCTACTAATATTACAACTGCAAAAGTTTAGATGGATGTTTGTTAGAATTCGTAGCCTAAACGGCTGAACGTATTCCGATAAAATTTGGCACAGATGTAGAAGATAATCTGGAAGAAAACATAGGCTTACTCAATTTTGTATTTCAAATCCCACGCGGAGACTCGCTGCCTAAAACTAGTAAGAATATAAATTACATACAAGAAATTATCGATCGAGTAGTTTCCAGTGCAGACACCTAACAAAAACATTGTCAAATAGCTCATTATATTTTTTACAAAAAACGGAGAATTGTTTCGTACAGATACTTCGTCAATAGAAACTATTCGAATGTTTAAAATCATACCGAAAATGAACTAGAGAATTCTTATAATGTAATTGAACTTATACGAGGATCAAATTTGGCAAATCAGAGTATAACAGCAAAGTTGAATGACCCGATACAAAAGATGTTAATTCTCACGCAAGATAATCTATACGTAAGAAGATGTTTACTTTTGCGATTTAATTTTGTTAAAAACATTCAATAAAGACATTCTTCAATTAATAAAAATACCTAAAACCTTACAAGATCATTGCAATGAGGAAGTGAAAGTCTTAAAAAGGTCTTAATAAAGTTGGCCGATTTGAAACCATATATTTATGTTTTAAACAGAAATATTTTTCATATTACCATCCTTTTCATTCATATAAAAAAGAACAGAGACAACGTATAAGTTTTTTATCTAGTCCGTTTCAAATAATATTTTGTTTTTTACATCAAGAAAGTACTTTCCGATTTAGGATATAACCTTTCTGATAAGGTTGAGGTTGATCTACTATTATGGCGTCATTCCCAATATCATAGAATAGCTGTTGCACGCGACTTCGCCCGCGCGAAATTACAAAATACAGCCTATGTTACTCACAGATAAATTACCTTTCAAATTGTGAAGGAATTTTTAAAATCGGCCCAGTAGTTTTTGTGTGAATCAAATACATATAAAAATCAAAAAAATACAAATCTTTGCTATTTGTAACATTAGTATAGATATACCATACATAAATAAGTAAAAGTAATTTTAAGTATACAATGTACTAGTAGACAAGGCTATATAGTATTACATCACTAGCAATTACAAAAATAACTTCGCATTGTAGCCTTTTAAATAGCATTATAAAAACTAAGCAATGATTGAGTGGTAACGAATAAATTACGATTGTTTTAAATCGACACTATATAAGTGATGACGAATTCGTCCGTTAAGTGATTTGGATTATCCTTCATGTCACAAGTGCTGATAAACAACAATTAGGTCAAAGTACCGATAAATTAGCATAGATTTTTAAAAAGAACAATGTATGGACACCTTTTTTCTTTTTTTACACAACATTTTTTACAAAATTATAATACATTGACTAATACAATTACAAGAAAAGTCGCCAACAACAATATAGTCGAGAAATATAGTATAGGTATGTGACAAACATTAATTTAAAAACTCTACCGATACATGATACTGTAAGTAAGAATATTTCTATTTTTTTAAATCAATCTATTTTACTTGAACTCTTAGAGAATGTCTAGTCTGGATCAAACAAAATTGGACACCCCTGCTCGAGAAAAGAGATACCATGTTACTATAAAATGAATTATCATTATTACCTGATGCAGGGCCTCCTCTTGCTGCGGGTCTCGGTCAGTCCTCACTGCCACCTCCACAGTCATAGCGCGCGCGAGGATTCTGTCCGCGTACCTTGTTATATCTTCTTTATCACCTACAAAAGTAATACAATTTTAGATTAAAACAAAAATATATTGATCCATCCGACATTTTCGATGTATTAAAGAATCTGTAAAAATCTTACCATTTTGTTGTAAAAAGATAAATATTTTGAAAACATCCTTTGACTCAAATATGTTTTAAATATTTTTAATGTTTATTTATCTATCTATTGATCATACTTAAGAAATTAAATATGTAAATGATAGTATTACTTACATTCCGAGATATCACTCAGTAGTTCCGAGTGCTTAACACTGTCTAATGTTGATAGCAGGGAGTCCCGCTCCTCCTCAATGCGCACCGTGTCCCTCCGCAGCCTCTCCACTCGCATCTCAACCTGATCCAACACAGCAATCAACCTGGTGACATCAATGATTGTTACTAAGCATTCAATGATAATAATCTTACTAATATTATAAATGCGAAAGTTTAGATGGATGTTTGTTAGAGTTTGTGGCCTAAACAGCTAAATGGTTTTCATGTTAGCGTAAATGTTAAAACCATTAATGTTTATACAATTTTTGAATAAAACAAGCTATATTTTTAACAGGAAATTCTATGCGGAAAATATGAAAGGAATTTAGGCGTTTTTAAATATTTTTCTAACATGCGATGACTGTGACAATTAAATCTTTTTTCCTTGAGTATCAAATTGAGTTTTGATTTTTCTACCTTTTTGAACTGGTCACAAATTTAGCTTGTATACATTACTAGCTAGTCTATAAGTTTGATCATTTAGTAAAAAAATAAGTTGCCTACGTTTTCCTCAAATTTTGTTCTACATTTACTAAACCTTTATTGAAACTTTTACATTTATAATATTAATATGAAACATAAATACTCAAATTACATATTGAATAATCTATACTAATATTATAAAGAGGAAAACTTTGGATTTTTGTATGTAAACTACATATACTCAATATAGTTTGAAATACTACTGGGCTGATTTTAAAAATTCTTTCACTATTAGAAAGGTATTTTATTTGTGAGTACCATAAGATATATTTTCCAATGCGGTCGAAGTCGCGAGTGATAGCTAGTATTGAATAAATATTTAGCCATAAAGAACAAAAGAAAAATAACTACAATATTTATACTAATCAATTACAGGTGCCTTTGAATGAAAAATTGAATCCTTTCAAATTGTAAAAGTAAATAACATAATAAAACAATCCTCAGTATTACAATAATTGGAAAAACCATTGTCACTATGATTGATTTAAATTATTTATTGAAAACTATAAATGGCATTCATAGTCTATGAGAAATAGCACAATTAACTATTGTGGTTATTGTAATGAAATGTATTTTACATTCTTGAAGGTAAACAAAAA